AACCTTTAAAGAGAAGAGTTTGGGCCTTGTGTGTAGTCTTGAGAGTTAGAGATCCTAATTCTATATCGTCGAGAATAATAAAATTGCAGAAAGAAAAATAAACACACAAAAATGCACAAGTTATGAAGGTTTGCTTCAATATGAGATTATGCCATTTTTTCATCGCTTCAATAATTCAGTATGATGAAGGTCAATTCACATACAAATCATGAGCAAGACATTATTAGACTCTACAACTTAACAATCTCTCATTTAGAGACGAATTAATCGAGCATCAATGGCTCCTCACAGTGGCAACAATTCCTCAATCCTCAATACAGAAGTCTGATTGAAGTTCAATTTCTAGATCAAAACCCTCTTCGTCAAGATGCCTGTCAAATTCAAACTTCCTTGAATTTTCAAATTTGTCAAATTTCCATCCTCTAAAGTCGTGGCAATTGATCCACTAATTCAAAACGTTTACACTAACTTTACTATATTTTTATTGTCGGCCGGCCGGCTGTTCACCATGAAATGAACTTAGTCAAGTCACCGTAATCAAATATATTTGAAATAGTAAAATATTGTGATTTCATCACCATCTGTACACATTTTATACGGAACACGGACGAGGTAAACGCTTAGACCACATTAATCCAACTGCTCAACTAAATCAGCTTTTTAGGAAAACTAAAAACAAAACTAAGGAATTGGGAGAAGTCCCATTTTATACATAGTGCACAGATGCTAATCCAAGAAAAATGATACGAGAAATTCTAAAGAACTTGTACAAAATGAGGACGACCGTGAAAATATATCAATCCCTAACCCTCGTGCAAAATAAACCACGCTAGAACCATTCTGATGTTCGAGAATTCTAGTTGACCATGTCGCTGTTGCCATATTTTAAATCAATTAATGACTTATTAATATTATCTCTCTTCCTAGTCAGCATAGATTTGGTCAACGTTAGACTTTCCGAACATCTATAAATACATAATTGCTGCATAGCCAAGCCAATCACAACGAGGAAACAATTGCAATCACAGAAAAACCAACAAAACCATGGCTAAATTAATGTTGATCCTCACCTATGCAGCAATACTATTTGCAGCCATCCATGGTAGCCATGCAGTCCAATACACGGTCACCAACAGGGCTGCAACCACCCCCGGTGGAGCCCGATTCACCCGGGAAATTGGAGCCCAGTACAGCAAGCAAACTCTAGACTCGGCCACCAGTTTCATTTGGAGAACCTTCCAACAGAACACTCCATCAGAAAGGAAAAATGTTCCGAAAGTGAGCTTATTCATCGACAACATGGATGGAGTCGCATATTCCAGCAACAATGAAATTCACGTCAGCGCCCGATACATTCAAGGTAGTAATAGAAAAAATCTCGACTATAGTACTTCTAGTTTGTTTTGTATGCTAGACTAAACAATTATAGACATTTTGAGGATGCAAAATAACTTAAAATATTTTTGTCCAGTTTATTAATGTCTAGTATTTCATACCAAACATACTTTTTTCTCGATCTTCATATCTTGGATAGGAATTTATGATATTTTTCTCAATACCAGGTTACTCGGGCAACGTCAAACAAGAAATAACCGGAGTTCTATATCATGAAATGACGCACATATGGCAATGGAATGGGAACGGAAGAGCCCCGGGAGGTCTTATAGAGGGAATTGCTGATTATGTGAGGCTCAAGGCCGGCTATGCACCGAGCCATTGGGTGAAACCTGGGCAGGGCAACCGGTGGGATCAAGGGTACGACGTAACAGCACGGTTTCTAGACTACTGTAATAGCCTAAAGCGTGGATTTGTTGCACAACTTAACAATAAGATGAGGAATGGCTATAGTAATCTCTATTTTGTGGATCTTCTTGGGAAAAATGTGGATCAGCTATGGAATGATTACAAAGCCAAGTATAATAACTAAGCATATATTATTTATATTGTTCAACACTGTATTGTACTATTGTAACTTATGTAACACATAAAGAATAATCTTAAACCATATTGTGATAATTATTAAAACAGTACTATTGCCAATTTCCGATACTCTTTTGATGAGTACTAGTTGTACCCGTACAATGTACGGGCTTTGGTATTTTTAAGGTAATGTTATTGTATCAAATATTAATGGGAAGCTAAATTATTATGAAAGTTCAGTAAGTTTTTATCAAACATAATAATTATTATAATTTCATAATGATAATATTCTAGTAAGATTCAAATGAAAAGTTTTTTGTAGCCTAATTTTTTTCCAACGAAGAAATTAATGGAGACATTATTAATCTTTCTAAGCTTGCTAAAATTTGACAATTCATATTTGTGCTCTATACCAAAATATTTATAGTACCCACTGAACAAAAAAGAAAATTTATTGGAAAATAAAGAAACGAAAAAATTCGCACAATGCAGAGTCACACTCCACGCATCGCAGAGTTTTCACTCGACGCAGTGCAGAGTGAAAACACCGCGAAGACCCTTATCGCAGTGCGTGGAGATGGATGTCTCCGCGCAGCGCGGAGATGGGCGGAGACCAATTCCGTTATTTTGGTCAACACTCCGTTTGACGAGTGAGGAAAAATCACGAAAAGTATATCATCACACATTGACGGATCTGTACCTTTCGAAGTGGCAAACCATTTATATAATAACAATAAACAAATAAATAAATTATGATAAAATATCTAACATCTCCCCCTATTTTTTTACAAAAATTTGTTTTGATAAAAGAATAAGATTGCAGGTCCGTTTCGATACTATGTTTTGATATCATTATTAATATTTTATGACCCCATAATTTTGAACAAGAGTTTGTTTTTTTCCACCAATTGCATGCTCTTACTTCAACAAGAACAAAAAGGGGAAGTGATTTTGGCTGACATCAATGCTCAATTGAAGCACAAGAATATCACAATAGATGTCAAAGTTGATACAAGCTCCAATGTATTTTTTTTCTTCAAAAATTCGACTACTGCAAACAAAGGTTATTAAAAGGAAGCATTTACATATGTAATCAACTAAAATTGGAATTAAATCAGATTACAAGTTGGAGCATTTACCTTGTGACATTTATTATACAGTGCAAAGATCACAACCTGGAAATCCATATACAAATAAACAATTAAATTATTACATACGCTATATAAATACATTTAATTTTATGTTCGTATAGATGAAATTAATATGTCTACTACGAGAAATTGGTGTAAGAATTTTACGAGTAGAAAAAGTGGAGTCTGTATAAATGGTTGGTGATTAGATTGAGATGCTTTTAAACCAATAGGATAGATCTTGTCCAGAAAAGGAATCTTACAGATTGGGCCGGTCCAAAACCACCTAGC